GTTTATTTATCTGTTACTATAGCAAGTGGGTGGGACTGGTCAGTGTTCACTAGAATGATCCTCACAATCACTAACCCAAGGTTCTTACAGTTTCCTAGCTTATCATGTCACCTGAACCTAACCTTTTTCTCTAATCAGAATTTGAAGTAGCAGGGAATACAAATCCAGCTCTATTAGTCACAGAGAAGCAGGGACAGTCTTCACAATGTTACTGCACAAACCAGGAATAAATTTCAGGCAACTAGTTGCTCAGGCTTTTACCGGTAAGTAAACCAAACCAGAACCTAGTAATCTTGACTGTGATTTCTCTTAGAAAGGAGTAATGATTACTGGACACTTTATATCTTGGTTACTGGACACTTTAAAAACCAAGTTCTTTTTCCAGTTTTTCTTCCCTGTCATCATAATGTTTTTTTTTTACAAAGACTTTCACCACCATTAAAAAAAAACCCCAAGAAATCCAATAGTTCTCCTACTCACTTCCCTTTCTAATATATACAAGTAAACACTGACTGGTTGTAATAGTTTAACAGTTAGGTCTGCCTCTCTCCAAGGACTGGAGCTGACATTTCACCTTATGGTTTCAAGTTTGTATCTGCAGAAGTGAGACTCCAGTTCGGATTATCCACTACCACCTGCCTAACAAAACTGATTTGATTCCTGAATGTCTTGGGGAATTTCTCATAGATGGAGCCAGCAGTTATGCTAAAGCTCTAGTCTTGCTCTGAAATCCTCTCTCTTTCTCTGGAGAAACAAACCAGGGAAGACAAAGTATCTCCATTTGGATAGTACTGAACCACCAATGATGGCTTCCAAGTGTTCTTTCCTGTGCCATTCTCTGGTATTTCAAGAAGCCAAGGATGGTGAAACAGGCTGGACAATAGCTAGAGTGTAGGAGGGAACTAGGCTGTAAAGCTGACTAAATACAAGTAAGAACATGTAACAGGGCATACACTATGCTTGTCAGAATAGCATAAAGGGCTTCTTTCCTTGTCTCCACCTATATCACTGTTGGAAATGGTAATTAGGAGATTTGAAATGAGGTTTCTTTGTATCATCTAAATCAGATAAAGCTCTGTTTCTTAGTAACATCTGATGGGGGCACTATAAAAATATAATAGATAAATAAAACTGTGCAATGTCTTGGATCAGAATGGGATCCCACTTTCCCTGAAAGAGGAAGTACAGAGTTGGAGAGCACACTTTGATCTAATGCTGTCAATGAAACACCAATACCTTGGGTGGCTAGCGTTATCTTTTACCCATGTTAGCTATTTGTGGGCAGGAATAGAGTGACCACTGTTGTCCACACTGTTGTCCACTATTGTAAAGGGCTTTATATGGTGCTCCTCTTATGATCTAGAAAATGTATCTGATGCAGAATACCTCAGCTGAGCTAGTAAATGGAAAGGCTTAGCATTTACAGTGGTGCCTCGCTTAACCATTACCTTGTTAAACGACAAATCCACTTGACTATGAGGTTTTTGCAATCGCTATAGCAATTGCAAAACGATGTTTTAATGGGAGAAAATCGCTTAACGATGATTGGTTCCCTGCTTCAGGAACCAATTTTTCGCTTAACGATGGTTGAAAAACAGCTGATCAGTGGCTCTCAAAATGGCTCCCCGCTGTTTTTAGGACGGATTTTTCGCAAGACAGGCACCAGGAACTGGCAGCCCTATGGAGGATCTTCGCTGGACGATTAGGTATTTAGCCCATTCGAACTCATTGAGCGGTTTTCAATGCATTTCAGTGGGTTTTCCCCCCACTTGATGATTTCGCTCTACAGCGATTTCGCTGGAATGGATTAAAGTCGTCAAGCAAGGCACCACTGTATGTATTATATCTATGCTAATAGCACTGGTTGCTATATGCTACTGGGCTATATGTTGCATGATATCAGGTGCTTTGTTTTTGTTTTTCCTTTGTCTTTCATGCTGTATTATTAATTTTGTACAGGCGTTTATTGGTTCAATTATTTCTGGCTTCGTGTTTTCCTTTTTTCAAAGTCGGGTGGTATATAATTGTATACTGTACATACATGCCGGCATCTCAGAACGACTGACATTTAAAGCTGATGCCACAAAGGAGAAGGTTCTTCTCATCCCTTCTCTGCCAATCTGCATGCCAGACAAAGGCAAACTTTTCGCTCTTTTTAACAGATACACAAAAAGACAAGGAAGTGTTTTGGATTTCACACTTAGTTTTCCTGTTTGGTTGTTCCTTTCTATTGAGCAAGTTAAGAGGTAAATTAAAACACAATCCCCACATTTGTAATGGCATTGTTTGGGCAAGCAGATCCCATCCATCCACCAATGCATTTACATACTGCTCACTTAGTGGCAGCCTACTAACCTGGGGGTGGGAGCTGTGCTGAATACAGAAAAAAAGATGAAACCTCAATTCATCATTTCTATGAACAACAATATAAATTAATTGTACAATATAAGAAACTAAAGAAAACACATAGCAACATCTGGATATATGTCCTAAAATCATTACTTCAGGGGCAGTATGTTTTTAAAATCTTTATAGAGTTCTACCTTTGCAGAGTTTACTTCTGAAGACACCCAGAAGGCAGCCAGGCGGATCTCCACAGGCAAGTTGTTCCAGAGGCGAGGGGCCACTGCCGAGAAGGCCCAGTTCCTTGTTCTTTCCTTCTGGACCTCCCTTGACATTAGACCCCTCAGCCGCCCAGCCTGGCTGTAACAAGTAACTCTGGCAGAATTGGGTGGGAGAAGGCGCTCTGCCAGAGCTCTATGTGGCCTCTCTAAGAAGAGTGTTACTATGCTGGTGTAGCTTGGGGGGCTAGCCAAGCTTAACAGAAATGAATAAACATCACGTTATACCCTACCTTGGTTCAGAAGATAGCACACAAACCAGGAAACTTCCATCCATGGTTTGTGCGGAATTACATTTGAACCATGATCCCTTGCGCATGATGTTGCCAAAACGGCATCTATGTTTGTTCTTGCTTATGACAGAACAATCAAGCACAGAAAATACACTTCACATTAAATGCACCTCTGCCAAGGAAGTGTCAGTTGATGTTAACTGTTACCACCCCTAAACATCACGTAAAACTTGAGTGACATCATAATGTTGATTTTTCTGTTTTACAATACTGGCTGCTAGTATTGGAAGGCAGAAAAATGTACAACATCACAAATTAAGACACAGCTAGGTTTTATCGGTCATCACAGATGGAGCAATTACCGTATTTTTCCGTGTTTAAGACACCCCCATGTATAAGATGTCCCCCACTTTTCTAACCCAAAATTAAGAAATCTAAGTGAGGCTTAGCAAGTGTAGGGGGAAAGGGATAAAAGTACTGCAGGATCACTTTGATCCCTGGTTTCTTCCTTTGTGCTAAGCCCCGCGGGGCTTATACAGCCATGGGATTGCTTTGATCCTTTCCCCCTCCTTTTGCTAAGTGATCCTGCAGTGCTTTGATCCATGGGACTTAGTAAGCAGAGGGGAAAGCAAGAATCAAAGCCATCCTGCAGCGCTTTGATTCCTGCTTTCCATTTGCCAAGGTTTAGCAAGTGGGGGGGGAAACAGGAATCAAAGCCCTACAGGATCACTTTGATCCCTGCTTTCCCCTCCACTTGTTTCTTCTCTCCTCAGCTTACTTCCATGTATAAGACAACCCTCAATTTTTAGTCTAAAGATTTTAGACAAAAGTATAGTCTTATACATGGAAAAATACAGTATTAAGCGTCTTCTGTTTTCTACAGCAGCCACAAAGAGGTCCATTTAACAGTTCTCGTTTATCAATTTTCTACTCCCAAGGGATAAAAATCAATGATAGTGTGTACATCATCTGAATCCAACTGAAATACTCATGAAAGTAGACACATCATTAATATAATATTTATAGAACATAGACTGAAGCTCCAAGTCTAAAACAGGTTTATGGGTGCGTAATCTGTTCTCTGAGTGCCTTAGGTATCTTTGGAGAGGTAGAGACGATTTCCATGAGCAATACCAACTTTTCCCTCCATGGATAACCCAGAGATGGATGTATCTCTCAAGTGACCTAAAGGACAGCACGCCAAATTACTGCCGTAGAGACCGTTGCCATTTTTTAATATTGGAAGACATGAAACAACTCTCATTTTCTCCATCTCCTTCTCCCCTTAAATTCCTAACATCAAGAATCTAAAAGCTTTTTTTCCTCTGAGTTAAGAAAGGATTTAAGGGGCATTGTCAGAAATGTGATATACCACATTTCAGAAAATGCTGTATTTGTAAAGAATTTGGGATTTATCTTTTATACACAACTTAAGGAAGCACAATTTCTGACCAAGAGAAATTATCTTCTATGATCATACAGCCTTGCAATAATACCCCACACTTGATGTCCATCTATAATATGCAAAACAAAAAATCATAACAAAGTATTATGCTAGCTTGAAGACTAAGTCTACTATTTAGGTAGATGGATTTGCCACACATGGAAGGACAATTGCATAAGCAGTTTCTGAACTTCAGAGGTGTACAGTGTACCCTTGACTTACAGACGGCTTGACTTACAGACTTTTTGAGTTACAGACTTCTCTGGCCGCAAAATTTAGGTTTGACTTACAGACCAGAAAAAAACCAAAATGGAACAAAAACGGCTTGTTACGGGATTAATCGGTTTTCAATGCACTGTAGGTCAATGGAGAGTTGACTTACAGACTTTTTGACTTGAGAACCGCCTTCCAATACGGATTAAGTTCTCAAGTCAAGACCCCACTGTATCTTTGACACAACAGAGTAAGTACTAATTTATTTCAGAAGGCACTTTCATAGATTACAATCCATTTCCTCAGATACATGCAAAAGAGGAGTGCATTCCATAAAAGCACACACTGATTTCTGTAAAGTCTTAGACGTGCCACTGTTTTTCAGTTTTTGTTTTGTTATATGTGCTGAAACTGACTAACAGAACCACTTCTTTGAAACTATGACACAACACTTGTTACTCTTCATTTAATTTGCATGTTAAATCCTACCTTTTTGGTTTTGCTTCTTGGACATAACAGCTTCACTGTACTGAGTATCTGACTACACAGTAAAGAGTCTATTTCCACAAATGCCCAAGAGTGGCAGGCACTTTTCACGTGCTCCTTTGTATCTGCTTGGAGACAGCAATACAACAGTTTCAAAGGCAGTAAGAGTTGTCAATAATCCGGCTAGCTGGATTGCAGATCACTTCAGAACCTCACTTTTAGCACCAGTCTTCTGTCATGAAGCACAAACACAGCAGTTCATGTTGTTGTCTTTTGGAATCTGAAAAGTCAAACATATAGGAAGAATTTAACATAGCAACAGGGCAGCATGCTATAGTTTCTATGCAAGACCATTCCTCAAAACTTTGCCTTTTTCAATCTGCACTCAATCTATGTTGCTTAAGAAGACCTACAAGAACAAGGGGTCAAGTAAAAACATCTAGGTGCTCAGTAAAGCATCACGGAGACTTTGCCCTGCATTTCAAACAGACTGCAGCAGTTGAAAGGAATTACTGCATTCTGTTAAAAACAAATTTGAAATTGTAAAGCTATCAGGATGGAGAATTTAAGCCACTTGTTAGCAGAAGCAACCCTAGCAGTTCCCAGTGCCATAAAAATATTATTTTTCAAGATTGGACATAGTAAGCCAGGGTGAAAAACCTTTTGCCTTTCAGACACTTAACTTACAAATTCCAAATGTGTAAGCTAAATTCCCACCCAGCAGAATTAATCATAAAAGACTCTGGGAGCTGTTGAAACATTTACAGGACCAAAGATTCCTCTCTCCATATTAAAGAACTATTGAAACTCAGATGATATCATGAAATTGTGGGCTTCTTTATAGAAGAACTGACATCTAGAGATGATGCCCTGAAGCACAAAAGCAGGAACTTGCTCCCTGCTGATTTCCAGTCCCAATTCAAAGTGTGGGAAAGTCACGAATTAGAATATGCCATAATGGAATTCTCATTTTTGAAGAGATTTTCTCATAGTCGTAAATACTTCAAAGTTTTAGAAAAATGAATCTTAGAATAATACTTTCTTAAATGACTCCTGTGTTGCCTTTTGCAATTGTTACTATTTGCAAATGAAATGACCAAACTAGTAACTAGTACTCAAACCCAAGTAACCAGATTACAGAATGTGGCACAAGAATACAATTATAAGAGAATAAAGAATTCCTCCCACCTCTTTCTCTAGGTGAAAACTGGCATAATTCTTTTAAAAGGTGGCTATCTATAATGCCATCTGTCTATATACAGTACAAACTATATTCTAAGACTCATGCCTTCAAATAGTATCATGTGAAACACACTAAATACACCTGGGTTTCCATCTGTCCTTGTCTCCTTGCAAATACTCAGACTATACCTATATCTAGATTAGTATCTATAACAGAGGAAAAATGCACACTGCTCAAACTACAGTATGTGAAATGTAACATGTAAAACACTTTACTTTGGTTTTTACTAGGTCATAGGAGTACAAAACGTAAGCTCCACTGATCTAATACAGAAGTATACACATGTGTTTAACTATCCAACTGAAAGTGCTTTTCATTTCTCCCTCCATCACTCTGCCTTGTTAGTGTTCACATCAAGTCAGTCTACATATATTTTCACTTTACAGCTCAAACAGCTAAGCTGTTTATTGGCCAGCAGTATATCAACTTCTTGAATAAATTGGATTTATCTTCTTCTGGTACTATTTAATTTTCCAAAAATTTGCATAAAACAGAGACATATATGATTTTCAGAGAAGTTTTTCAAAATAAGAGTTTATCAGAGGCAATGGTGGGGGCAAAGTAGTATCCACAAATGTCTTAATCATATATGAAGATGGAAGAAGAAAATGTAGCTACTACTGTAAAATAAATTGGATTTGTCTTATGGCAGAAAACAGGAAATAATTTAAAAATTACTCAAGATGCTTTTATCTCATCTCTACGTGAAAAGATGACTTAGGGTCAATAAGCTTGGAAAAAGAAAATAAACAAATGAATCCAGTGGCTCTGATTTTAATGAGGTAAAACTGCTTTATTTTATTATTTTCCTTTCTTTGGCTGGAACATAGAATAAGATTTACAGGTAATGTTTACAAGTCTCTAAAGAGAATTTCACCAGTGGGATCTGAAGATCTAAAGAAGCCGAAGGCAAACATATTGAGTTATGTTTCCATTACTAATTAAAAGGCATGCAAGTAACACATGTTTTGCCTGTATTTTCCACTAAATCTAAAACCAGTACTCTTGTTATATAAACTACAGGTTATATATGGGATGACCAGTCTATTATTTGCAAGAATGTTTTTTTTCACTCTGGGATTTTAAACCAATGAAGAATTTCTTGTCTTCCAAGCTTGGAAAACAACTACATTATGCTGCAGCATCTGGCTAATTGGCTTTTGAGTAGAGTACTGTACTCCCTTACCAATCTATTTTAGTCCCGTTGATCACATAGATGATGATCTCCACAAGGTGCACATTTTGAAACTTACAATTACTATCTCACACACACCACTAGGTTTACTACAAATATCAAATACACGAGATAACAAATATGTTTATTCAGTCTCACTGTAATCCAGAAGCAATGTAAGTATTTGTATCAAAATCACACTTCATTTTTTAAAAAATGATGACCAACTATACTTAAAGACGAGAATTTCAGAACTACTTTGTCATTATGTTTGTACTTCTTAGGCTGCGGATTTAAGGACCCTAACTTGGAAATAAGTTGAGATGGGCTTTTACATTATAAATGTGATAACAACCAAATTTAAAGTCTTGGCACAAACTGATCACCTGCACCATAACCTGCTATCAATTATATCCAAAGACCACTGGCAGTGCTGCAAAAAGACTAGCCACTATGACAGTCTTCCCTAGGAAAAGTACCACCCTACACCGCAACACTGGATCAGCAGGAATAGTCTCTCCCAGACCTATACTGTACTCTGCCTCTGTCACTATGTATAACTTTCCCACTTCCCTTCTGTTTCCCTCAACTCAAGTTCTCATCTCCTGCAAGGGCTCTCCCTGTTACCTTTCCAGCACTGCCATTCTATCTAACCTGCATCCCGACCTTACAAGAACCGTAGCAGTTCGCCCCCCTGCAGGAGAAAGCGCTGGTGTCTTTATTCTGTCCCCTGTCACCTCAGGAGAAAAAGAAAACTGCTGCCCTGCCGTTTTCTCTCGGAGAAGGCCATTTTCAAACACCCAACGGCCGCTCCTCGGGGCAGAGAGCAAAACCGGCGCTAACCCTAAAGGGTCCCCCCCCCTTCGCCAGGGCAAAACATCCCCCGGGGGGGTCTTCCCGAGCCCCCCTCCTCTGGCGAGGCGCTTCCCTCTTCCCTCTTTTGTCACCGCGCCCTGCCTTCTCCCTCCATCCTTCCCATCCGCCAGCGCTTCGTTTCGTTTCGGAGGAGGAGGAGGAGGCGCTACGGCTCAAGTCCGTCCCTCTGGCCTGAGGAGCCGAATCCGGGATGTACGGGGGGACCACCTCGACGTATTCGATGGTGGCAATGGGGCTGCGGATGCACCCCGGAGACCGCCCGAGGCCCTGCGGTGCTTTCCCACGGACAGACCCTCTTGTTTCACGTGTTCGGGAGCCCAAAGCGCCGCCAGGACTCAACCACCCAGCCAGCCCTGCCTGCTAGACACCGAACTCTCCTCCTCCTCCTCGCCGCCGCCTCCACACAAGCTCTTGGGTCCCCCTTCCGTCGCCCCTTTCCTTCCTTCCCTCCCTCTCTCCCTGCCTCCCAGACGCAGGCCATCCGCTCGCCTCAAGCCCCTCTCCCTCCCTCCATCCTCCCCCCGTGCCCTCGCTGAAAATAGAAACAGGGAAAAGTCAGACACACTTTCAAATCTCCTTTGCCTCACTATCCACCCCTCTAAAACTTATATTCATGGCATCAAATATTTACAAAATGCCTGCCCCCCCCACCTCGCTCGTCCACTTTACCTCCCGCCGCCGCCGCCAAGCACCGGGAAACCGAGCCCCGCCCACCAGCGAACGAGAGACCCAGAGAAGCCGCGAAGGTTGCCACGAGCCCCGCAACCAACCGGGCAGGGGAGTCTTCTTCTTCAGCCAATGGAAAAGATCTCTGGCTCGGCCAATAGGAGCAACGAAGCACCGAGTTCCCGCCTACCCATTCCGTCACTCTGTCTCTCTCTTTCCCCCTCCCCATAGGAAAAAAAAAGAGTTTATCTCGAGAACAACGGAACCGCTCTCGCCCGCCGAACCCCCCGTCGCCTGCTGGCCAATCGGCCTCGGCGTTAAGGAGAGGCCAATCGGAGACAACGAAAGATGCTTGCCGAGACAGTCCTGGAATTCGAGCCAATCCGGGAGTGCGGAGCGTGGCCCAAACCCCGCCAACGTCCAATAGGACAGCGTCCAAAAAAAAAAAGCTCGCTCGCTTGCTCTCAAATCCTCTCCTTTCTTTCCACAGCTTTTACTGAACGAAGACCTAAAGCTCCTGAAGGGAAGCGAAAATATTCGAAGCCTTCCGGAAAGAGCCGAAGGCAGAGACTGTTCATTCCGCCGGAAGACTGATGTCTGCAGCAGCCCGCTCGTCTCTACAGAATTAACTGTCTGTTTCTTAGCACCGGCCTAACAGGTAGCAGCAGGTCGACCGGGGAAGCCACGTTTCTCCCCCCCCTCCCGCGTTTTGTTTGTGTCGTGTATGACGAAAGGCCCAGAAACCCTTTGGAGAGTTGCTCAACAAATTCTTGCAGCCGCTAGTAATTCCTCATTGTTGAATAACATGCTATTATTTTAAAAGAATTTCTCCCCCCTCCACATCAACTCCCATCTGTGGTTAGGGATTTGGAATCGCTGCACTGTTGCCGCCTGCAGGTTACAGTACGCCGATTATTTTAGGGTTAGGTAAACGTTTTCTTTACATGCCTGGATTTTGCCTTCCTTGAGCTACTAGCTTCACTTTGCCACATCTGGTCTGTAGGCACGGCCTGTGTGATTAAGCTACGGGGGACGCTAAATACAAATTCAGAAGCCGGATTTATACGAGTCCCCCCCCCCCCGCGTCCTTTGGTTTCAGGGACAGACCACCCTCCATCATCCTTTTGGTCCCATCGTAATCTGCATGACTTGGTTGTGAACAGAGCTAAATGCTCAGACTGCGGTCAAAAGCATTTACTTTGCTGTCTAGAAACAGCTACAGACACGCACACCCGACATGGATTTTCTGTGTGCCTACACTTCTGCTTCGGATCATTTATCTTTTCCCTGGAGGGCTTGTTTTTTTTTAAGACAGAAGCCCCATTCATTCAGTTTCTTCTCAAGATTTCAGCAGCTTAGCAGCGACGCCTGCTGGGTCTCGCTGGGCTTGCAGGTATTGCAAACGAACACAATCACAGCATCATAGCGTTGTATGGCTAGAGCAGCATTTCCCAATCTGAGGTTCGTGATCCCCAAGGGGGTTGCAAAGTGTTTTCGGGGTGTGTGTGTGTGTCACGGGTCGTCTTACATGTTTTATAGCCCTTGTTAAATAATTTCGACCTTGATCTTTCGGAGTGGGAGTGGGATACTGTATTAAAGTTAGTGCATATGTGTAGTGTATAGAGTGGTAGAATATACCAGATGGGCGGGATATAAATCAAACAAACAAATAAATAAAAATATAGTGCATATGAGAAACAGGCCCTTTGTGGGAGAAAGAAGCTTCTACTTACAGAGAAGGGATGATTTTATCCCATTAAAATGCCTTTTTAAGCAATCATGGTGGGAGATGTTTCAGCTTACTTGGCTATTATAACAGGGGATCACAACTTGGAAAAGGTTGGGAACTACTGAGCAAGGGTCATGAAGTCCAACCCCATCCTGAAGCGTGAAATCCTTCACTAAAAAAATGTCAAACTTTGAATAAAAGAGAGTCCACATACCTCCAAGGGAGTCCAGTCAAACGGATGATACTGTCACAAAAATCTTCCATATACTGTATTTAGGTGAAACTTTCTTTTAATTTGAATTCATCACTTCAGCTGCTATGCTCTTGAGTTACTGAAAACACGTTTCTTGCGATAGTTCTTCAGACTGAATAAGATGGTACCTCACCTTTCAGTGTTCTCCAGATTACACAGACATACCTCCCCATGTAGATGACATGACATTACTGGCAGAAAATAGAAATGGCTACTGATGAAGGTTTTAAAATGTGCAAAAACAGGATTACAATTGAACATTAAGAAGATGAAGTCTTCACAGATAAATCACATAATTCAAATGAAGAAATTTAAATCATTAAAGATTTTCTGTTCAGTGCCTCCCCCCAAGTGAAGACTGCCACCAAGAAATCTGAAGACCAAAATTTGAAAGAGCAGCTATGAAGGAACTAGGAAAGATCCTTAAGTGTAAGGATGAGTCACTGGAGGCAAAGCCCAATATCATCTATATACTGTGGTACTCCAAGTTATAATGTACTGTTGTGAAAGCTGGACAATGAAAAAAGCTGACAGGGAAAAAGCCAACTCATTTGGAATGTGTTGGAGGAGAGCTTTACAGATACCATGGGCTATGAGAAAGACAGATAAATGGGTTCTAGATCAAACCAAGCTTGAATACTTGCTAGAGACTTAAAATAACTAAACTGTGGCTATCGCACTTTGGACATATCATGAGAAGATAAGAATCACTGGGAAAGGCAACAGCGCTGGGAAAACTGGAAGAATAGGAAAAGAGGAAGATCAATTGAGATATGGTGACTCCATAAAAGAAGCCACGGCCTTTAGTTTGGGCTTTTAATGAGAGGATGCTTTGATAGTCATTAATTCAAAGGGTCAAGATAAGTTTGAAGTTACTGGATAACCCTTAATAACAAGTTGGAAGGGAGCTCTGGGATGTAGATATATATATATATATTTGTTATAAGACTTAAAAACACATGCAGACATCGCTAAAGACCGCTGATGGAACCAGTGATCATAGGAAAAGTGTAACTGAACAATAAGAAAACCCTGACATCAATCTTATGCTCAATTGGTTAGAAGTACATCCCACTGGATTCAGTAACACTGACTTCTGAGTAAGCATAGGCCATATCAGACTGCATAAACAAACAAATCTATTTTTAAACTACCTCAACAATTTTAATTTGTTTTTAATGCTGCCTATATTTCATATACACTACATCCATAATTTTAAATTGTGTAATGCTCCGATATGAAGAAAGAAAAGAAAGAACAATAACTCAGGGATAACTTCTTTTTTATTTAAGACATCGTTATCTGGCATTTTCAATATAAAATGACAAGCAAGGTTCCCTCTAAAGTATGTGGCTGCACGAGGGCCTATGACTCTGCCCCCCCCCACACACACAATGTTCCTCCTCTGTGTGCCCACAGCAAGTTCTCCAGCCCCTTTGGTTCCAGTCGCAACAGAACCCCGCATGAGGAGGAAAGAGTCACGTGTCAGGGAAAAGCTCCTCACAGATAACAGGGACTGTTTTTTAAAAAAGTAGCTTCTATTCTCTAAAACCAATGTTTCCAGCAGACGGATGTCCTATAACCGGTGGCACCAATATTCAGCATATAAAAATTGGAGAGGTATGTTATATCTTAAGTTTCCAAGCTTGAGAGTGGCTCAGGGCAGTAGGTTTTACAAACTGTTGCTTCTTCCACATTACAAATCAATTTGACAAGGTACCACCCTAACCAAGTCTAGCTTGAACTTGGAAAACCAGTGTTTCAAAATTTATGCTGTGATCCCCAGCCATGTAGCAGAGTTCAGGAAGCATCTCACATCCATTCAAACAGTTTTGGATTTCCTCATCTGCGTAAGGAGCTCATAGGCAGCCTGCACCTCAATGAAACGTCTCTCAGCCTCCGCTGCCCGATGCGGATTATGATCTGGATGCCAAAGCTTCACAAGTTCTCGGTAGCTCTTGCTGATTTCTTCAGGAGTGGCATCCTCATGAATGCCCAAGACCTAGGGAAAGGATGTGAGGGAAGAAACACATCTCAGAACGATGAGATATGGACGAAACAGTTCTGGTTGACCTTGTAGACATGGTAATGGAGTTTGGGGACAAAGGGGAACCAGGAATAATTGTCTTGGTTTACCTGTTATGACTTGCTGTAAGACCTATGTAAGTCAAAGTTTCCGCATAGAATGGCCACCTGGTAGATGGCCTTCAGATGTGGTAGGACTACTGTACAGTTTATGACTTGCTGTAAGACCTATGTAAGTCTAAGTTTCCACATAGAATGGTCACCTGGTACACCAGGGATGAGTAACAGATGCCTTCAGATGTGGTAGGACTACAGCCTCATCATCCTGGTCAGTATAGCTAATGGAAGGTCCATATTTGGAGAGCTATGTATTTCCCTCCCTTTGCTGTATCTTATGGCTTGTAGTTCATTTTGGACTATGGCCAGAATACTATTGGCAATTTATGTTTGCATAAGGAAAATTATGGCAGAAAATTGATGCTCATTAATGAAATGTTGGCTGTCTTCTGTGCTCACACTTGGTTGTGTGATCAGGAACATGACCAGAACCTCCCTAATGGGCATAAATTTTCTGCTATGACTTAGGGTGCAATCAGATGGGGATTTGTCCTGTGACTTAGTTTGCTTTGGAGATGGACTGATTAACTTTTTCCAGCAACCACATGAAATATGGACAATCACAAAGCAGCCTGTTCATGACTCAAGCTGACCAGAAATGTTTTTGGTCCTTGTCAGAGGCTACTGCTTTTTCATTGTGGGTAGGATCACTCCATTTTTGTTTGGTTGTGGCATGTGTGATCACTAGGATCAAAACAAAGTGGGTGGCTAAAACTATCCCCTTGCTTAAACCACTTCAGGATCTAATAAGTTACTAGGAAATCGAATGCTCATAACAGGGGATGCAAATGTGCTCCCCCCCAAGCCCTTTGAATCTAGCACTGAACTAGTTGCTTTACAAGCCAACTCAGCGCTGCACCACTTTAAAATAATTTGTTTAAAATGGAGTTCTTCCTCCCACTGCCCCACAGAGGGGGAGACGAGTCGACGAGGAGATTTTAAAGAGATAGTATTTCACACAAGGGCTCGATCACAGGTAAGAAAAGAACCCCTGTTATACTGGCAGGCCTTCCCCCATTTACAAGGGCTCGATCACAGGTAAGAAAAGAACCCCTGTTATACTGATTCTTTTCATATCTCTGTTGTACCAATACTGTACATTTTTTTCAGTGGTCAGTGGTATATATATCGGCAGGAGCTATCACATTGTTTTTAACTGCATTTTTTTCTATTTGAACTCTTATAGCAGGCTACACTGCTCTTTAATTTTGTATCAATTAATTTTTTTCTACTGTTTCTTGGGGCAATCAGGCCTCATTTTGCCCTTTTTGTTTAAAACAACAAAAGAGGTATATTGTTAGATCAATAGAACAGTACATGCTTCTCTCCAACTCCCCTTTTCCCTTCCCTCCTTCATTTCGGCAGGAGCTATCACATTGTTTTAACTGCATTTTTTTCTATTTGAACTCTTATAGCAGGCTACATTGCTCTTTAATTTTGTATCAATTAATTTTTTTCTACTGTTTCTTGGGCAATCAGGCCTCATCTTGCCCTTTTGTTTAAAACAACAAAAGAGGTATATTGTTAGATCAATAGAACAGTACATGCTTCTTTCCAACTCCCCTTTTCCCTTCCCTCCTTTATTCATTTGTTCCCCTTTCTTTTATCTTCCTGAATATCAATCCCTCTCAGTTCTTGGCTTTTATTTTTCTTTTCCCTTTTGCTGAGCATCAGGAGGAGGGAAATGTATTGTGAGAAGCAGAGGTTTAAAAAAAGAGAAAGAGAGTAGACATTGATGCTACACCTTTCTTTACAATTCAAAACCGGAAATGTCTTTGTTTCAAGCCCTCTTTCACCTGTAAGGGAGCGGGGAAGGTTGTCTCTTTCGAGCTGTCTTCTTCTGAGCAATGTATTCATGTTGTTTTCGCTAGTAGCAGCTGCTACTAGCAAAAACAAGTGGCTTACCAATACCCCTTTTTAAAAAGTTGTTTTCGCTAGTAGCAGCTGCTACTAGCGAAAACAAGTGGCTTACCAATACCCCTTTTAAAAATATATATATTTTTAAAGGTACAAGTGAAGTAGCCATGGTGACCACAGCGCTCAGAAACTGGACCCCTTTACAAAATAAATAAATTGACAACAACATTCACACACACTGAAACACAATAAGGAATGAAGCGATTCATCATCTATACTAGTAGCAGCTGCTACTAGCGAAAACAAGTGGCTTACCAATACCCCTTTTAAAAATATATATATTTTTAAAGGTACAAGTGAAGTAGCCATGGTGACCACAGCGCTCAGAAACTGGACCCCTTTACAAAATAAATAAATTGACAACAACATTCACACACACTGAAACACAATAAGGAATGAAGCGATTCATCATCTATACAATTTAAACAACCTTCCTGGCAAGGGAAAAATAAACCACTTGCCAGGGCAAATGAATCAATGTTGGCTGTGCATCATGTACAGAAAATTATGAAATGATCTAAAAAAAACAGCCAAATTGGTATAACTGGGGTTCTTTTGGCAGGTGTGACTGAGCCCTTAATCTGATCTAATTTGGCCATCTAGTTGTACCCTTTCCCCTTATGTAAGCATACATCCTAAATAGAATTCTGGCCTGTATCTCCTAGAATTTTCATTACAGCAGGGTCAGTGACGTGGAGGATCCTGTGAGTGGGAATCCAAAGAATAACTTTTCCCAACCTCTCTTTTAGGCTCTTTTACTCGTTTAGCTAATGATACACTGAGGGCACAGACAGCTTCCCAGCTGCCACCTTGGAAAGCTCCCTGTTTTCCTTCTCTCTCAAGTTTTCCAAGCTCTGTACTGTAGTTTGATTCAGCACTGCCCAATGTCACTCTTTCTCTCTCGCTGGCTTCTGGCTTCCCTGTTCCAATAGCACTATGGCTGAAAATATTTCTTTTCTCGTCAGCCATCTCTAGTCATGAGTGGATTAGATTTGGTTCTAATTTTGAAAATAAGTAAAAAGACATATTTCCCCACATAGTTTTAGAGTTCTTACTAGGTTTTCTTTCCCTTTTAAGGCTGGCATTGCCTGCTCCAACAGTTTAGACCATAACCATTAAAGCTACAGTCCTGTATATGCCTGGGAGTGTAGACTTGGTGAGGGTGACTTTGGGGCTGACTTCTGGGTAAGCACATTGTACAGTATAGGATTGTGCTGTTAAGATCTGGAGAGAATAGGTAGATATGTATGACCGAGAACATACGCTGATTGGGTTTTCCCCATCGTCCTATTTTATAAAACTTAAAATACATTAGTTCTTGATATCGAATGCACTTAAAACTACACTGAACATTCTGAGAGAAATCAGGGCAGGGCAGCATTCTAGATCTCTATCCTCACCAAGCTACATTTCCCAGAATTCTTTGTCGGAAACCTTGGAAGTTAGATTAATTAGAATCATAGAAAAGTGAAGTTAGAAGGGGCCTAGAAGGCCATCAAGTCCAACCCCCTGCTCAATGCAAGGAATCAAATCATATCTGCAAGGTGATTATCTAAGTTTTTCTTGAATGCCTCCAGTGTTGGAGCACTCACCAACTCCTGAGGTAACTGGTTCCACTGTCTTACTGCCGTTAACAATTAGGAAGCTTTCCTGATATTCAACTGAAATCTGGCTTTCTTTAACTTGAGCCCATTGTAATTAAAAATATCAAGCCTATATTTGCTAAGATAAGGTGGGGGGGAGAGAGGGGAAAGAATTATAGTGAAGAATCAGTGGTGGGAAAAGGAGTCAACATATGGAGGAGTGGACTGTAAGTCGTTCACCTGTTTCCTAATGTGTAAATATGTTTAGCCTTGAGAAAAGACTGAGGGGAGATACGATTGCACTTTTCAAATACTTAAAAGGTAGTCCTACAGAGGAGGGGCAGGATCTGTCCTCAGTCATCCGAGACTGCAGGACACATACTAATGGGGACAAGCTACAGGAAGCCAGATTTCGTCTAAATATCAGGAAAAACGTTTTAACTGTTAGAGCAATACTACAATGGAATGAATTACCTCAGGAGGTCGTGAGCGCTCCGACAGTGGAGATATTCAAGAGAAAATTGGACATCTGTCAGCTCTGCTTTGCTTTGGATTCCTGCATGGAGCTGAGGGTTGTACTCAATGGCTTTACAGGCCCCTTCCCACTCAATTAGTCTATGATTCATCTTTGATATAACCAAGTCTAACTACGTGTAATAAAGATAATCCCATATTTTTATTCTGTTTACTCATGTCTGTATTTCCCCCTTCCATGTGTCTGCTTTAGCCTATAGTGTACACTTAGTAACAAAGGTTAAGAACCAGTGCTTTAGCCTATACTGTACACTGATTAAGATAGGAAGGTATCATATGGTATGTGCTTCTGCCATGCATATGGACAATACTGGATAAAAAACAACCCCTAGCCAGCCCTCACAATAGAGACCAAGTGTGCTGTACTGGTTTGAGTTTCAGCCTAGGACTGGGAGAATATGGATTCACATCCTTCCTCCATTGTGAAGGCTCCCTGGAAAGTCTTGGGCCAGATGCAGCATTTTTCAGGCCTAACCTACCTGACATGGGCATTGTGAGGATGAAATGGGTGAAAAGGTTGGAGGAAGGGCCTGACTAAAACATGAGAACAAAATAAGGCCTCTTCTTCACAAACCCCAGATGTCAAGACGTTGAGCTGCCCGTTTCCCAGCCCCCCATGTGCAGACCTGTCACTAGCCGTTTGGGCACCCAGGTCAGGCAGCGTGAAACACAACCCCAAAATACATAACTGTAACTTGTGCCCCTGATATGTACCGTAGCTTAGAACAGCACTGCCCACATCCTATGACCAAGGTGAAGAAGTGGCATAGAAGTCGGCTGACATGCCAAAACAAAGGGGAATGTGGTGGCGGCGGCGGCGGCCATATACAGCAAGGCAGGGCCCTCCCCCAGCCACGCTCCGAAATGATCATGGGAGTTGGGGAAAGCCGCTTACGCTGGGTGGCGATGGTAATGGGCTGTGGCAGTCAAAACTACTAAATGTGTCGCCTGCTCCTCCTGCTGGAGGAGAAAAAGGGAGCCCCATGCCTCCCGGCTGCTGCTTCTTCAGTGCCAGGTTCTAAAGGCCTCAGGGTAGAGGGTGGCCTGGAAAATATCCCGCTTAAAACAAAAAAGATCTGTGCAAAGCAGCCTCTCTCTTCGGGGGTGGGGGCAGGTGGTATGACTCCCTCCCTCTTTCTTTGCAGGGGAAAACTTTTACCTCTTGTTGGGCTTTGTTGTTGAAGTTCAGAGGATGAACAACCACTGCACCCTCTAAATGTGGCGCCCTGGAACAAAGCTCTGGTTTCCATGCCCTAATCGTGGCCTTGCCCACTTGAAAAGTTGCCATAATCCCTTGATCTAACAGTAAATCTCTGTCCAAAATATTGCTAAACAACTTTCAGAATCTACAGCCAGTATGACCACTGACTGGGGATGCTAGGAGATATTGTATGAAAAATTAATTTTCCAAGATCTACTCTAGTCTTATCCTCCCATTCCTGATTTGACAGGAAATAGAAGAACCCATGAAACTGGAAATCTCCCCCCCCCCCCCCGCCGCTTCCCAACAGGCTCATTCACAAAGCTTACAGATCCTACTGTCTCATCTTCCATAAAATGTGGTTCACAGACAGAATGCTAAGCAAACTACTATGGAATGGCCATGTACTGTACATACCTTGTAGGCCATCTGCTGCCTCTCGCTCTGGAAAGACTGCATGAAAGCAAAAACTTTCTCCCACTCCTGGAAGGAGCCACCTCCAAAGCCCAGCAGCTTCCAGGCATTGTAGGGCAGGAGAAGTGCTGATTCCAAGAGGCAGCTCAGTGACGGAAAGACACTGAGCCAATCCAGTGCGGCACCAACAGTGCCGGCTATGTAGGTGGCGGTGGCTGCTGTGTTGTACAAGGCACAGTAGGCCAGCGGTGTCGTGAAAGCCAAGTAGGCCAGGCCAAGTCGGTACAGTCTGCCACTCAGCTTCTCAGAGGTTCCCCTGCTGGCTTTGAAGCGCCGGTGATGTTGGGCCGTCACACTCGTCGTGAGAGTGATGGGCAAGATGGCCACCGGGCGGCCATAAAAGACTGGTGCAGTGAGGAAAGCAGCTTTCAAAGTAGCCTGAAGATCGGAGGCTTGATCGCCCACAACAGACACTAAGTGAACTCCAAGTCCTACAGCCAGGGGGAGAGCCAGAAAGTAAAAACCAGGCAAGGTTGAGAGCCCAAGGAGGGCCGCTAGCCCAAAGTAGACACCGACGAAGGCTTGGCCAAGGAAGCGCACAAAGCTCCAGGGTGGTTGTCCATCACTAGGCACTTCCAGAGGATGGTTGGCCTGGTCCACCCAACCAGGCAGCAGCCACAGCTCCCAGAGCCACCCAATGCCAAAGCCCCCCAAAGTCAGCATCCACAAGAGGGCATGGTTATCCCGGCCCAGGTAAAGATGGTGGAGCCCAACAGGGCCTCCTAGAGCCCAGAGAGCCACGGCCACCAGAAGCCGCTTTGCCATCCTCCACCAGGTCCTTGTCACCGCAGGCAGTGTCTATGGTTGCAGCACTTCTTAGTTCAGCTAGAGTTCCAAGAAAGGAAAGAGTGAAACACAGTGTAGTATATGAGAAATATAAACAGAGCCCTTAAACGTTTTAGGCATTGGGTCAGATTCAGGCAGGCACTGGGAACCTTTGGCTGGCTCTCCAAGGTCCTGGTCAACAACTCCCATCGCCCCCACCCAGTAGAGCCTGGGATAAGGGATGGTGGGAATCCAAAATGTCCAGAGGGCCAAGGCTTCTGGATTAGATGAGTAGTTTCTGCCAACACACCACACCCTTCTTTGTACAAATGCAAGCAATCCTTTGTCTCTCTCAATCTCCCACGTGACTGCAGTAAAGTTTGCTTTTGCTGGCAGTTGCAACTCAGGGATCCGTCTGGGTCTCTGGCGGCCCGACTGCTCCCAAGATCAGGGATTTCTTAACCACAATAAACCACCCATGTGCTGAATCCAGCTAGACTGGCCTCACTATTTATTGGATTATCAGAAGCACCAAGTGCCAACAATCACCAGAATTCAATGACTTTGCATGTGTGAAGCCACATGCCCAGTCCTTGCAGTCTCCAGACAGATTACTGTCAGAAACCTCAGAGAGCCACTGACAGGTGAGTATGGCTATAAACAGCACTGACCTACGTATATGGAACAGTGGCTTGGTTTAAGGCACCTTCCTATGCTCTTACGAACAGCCTGTGAAGAACTGCGATCACATACCTTTTCAGCTCATTGCCGGCACAGGAACCTCAGCAAGACTATCATAGAAAGTCTTTTATCTCATGGGGCTAGACAGGCTGGACTTTGCCTCTTCCGCCCGAGGGGGAAATGGGATGGGACAGGGCAGAGGGCATCTGTCCAGAAGGGAAGAGAAGCGGCCAAAGGGCACTGTGGCAAACTCCATATTGCTCACAGCGCAGGAGAGACAAGGCTGTGTAAAGCACATGGAAGAGAATCCAGCATTAGATCTTAGCTTCTTGTGACCTGCCTTTTAGTTTACCGTTGCATCTGTCGCACTGATAACAGTGACTACAGTTGTGGGTGCTTCTACTACTCTACAGATGGGACTTTAACCCAATGGCAACTAGACTGTAAAACTCCTAACATTTCCCTTCAGATGTGGTCAAATACCATAGTTGCCCTAAACATATGGGCAGATATACTTTCCAAAGCTTACTGCACCTTTCCTCAAATTGATGCCTTCCAGATGTGCTGAACTGCAAGAGCCTTAAACATTACAATTCCTTGCCAGCATGGCTAATGTTTGCTGTGGAAGTAGGCAGCAAGGAAAGCTGTTTGTATTTATATCCTGCCTGTGGGCATCCCAGCTGGCTAGACAGCTCTGTAAGTTAGGTTTTTGGCTGTGGAGTCAGGGTTAGGAGTTCAGTTCTGCCACTGTACATCCCAGAAGCCCAAGCTGCACAGTCCCATGACACCCCTAGAAGAAGGGAATGGTAAGCCACTTTTGAGCACATACTCTCTATCTGGAAAATCCTGAGAAGTAAGGCAGAACTGACTTGACAGCACACTAATTATTACTCTTATTCGTAGTAGTAGTAGTAGTAGTAGTAGTAGTAGTAGTAGTAGTAGTAGTAGTAGTAAAAACACTAGGCACAGTCAAAATTATAAAAAATTGACTGGTATTAAATAACAGCTATAAGTTTTAACCAAAACCCAAAGTATATGCTAAATAGCAGCAGAGTATGTATGCTGTTCTTAATATTGCTGTTTTTTGTAGCTCTGATGGTGTGATTTCTGAGATCTGCAACTACTTATAGTACTATGTGAAATTTCTTGATATTGTTCCCAAAGTCCCAATGACTACGGGGACCACTGAAGTGTTTTTTTTTTTCCAGAGGTGAGATGTTTCGATTGTCAGGTCTCTGTATTTTGTTAGTTTTGTTAGTTTTTCCCATTCTTTATTTTCAACTCTGGCATCCCCTGGAATTGCAATGTCAATATTCCAGACATTTATTTATTCTATTACTACTACGTCTGGTGTGTTTTTTACACTTCCAACATATATTGCTGTTAATCTCTGACATTTTTGCTAGTCTTACAGGTGTGTAATGCCATCTGTAAAACATTTTGAGGATATTTTCTCTAGCTTTTTTCTTTCCATCAATATTTCTCAGGTGTTGTCCATGCAGTGGTTTATATTTCCAGTTGTGCCATTTATTTTCAAATTGTTGTTTCTTACATTGAGCCTTTGTTTTTGTTGTTTTCAAAATATTCTCCATTTTCACTGCCTTAAGTAATTTTTCTCTGCTTGTATTAATATAATCACTTAGGCTTCTTTTTTCCTCCTCTATTACCTGCTCTATTTGCAGTAATCCACGGTCTCTGATTTTTTGTGGTAAATATAATCCACATCTCTTTTCGGATGTAGTGTGTAATGCATGTTCATTAGTTTCCGTGTTTCTCGATCCAATTCTTCTACAGTGGGGTCTTGACCTGAGAACTTAATCCGTATTGGAAGGCGGTTCTCAAGTCAAAAAGTCTGTAAGTCAAGTCTCCATTGACCTACAGTGCATTGAAAACCGATTAATCCCGTAACAGGCCGTTTTTGTTCCATTTTGGTTTTTTTCTGGTCTGTAAGTCAAATCTCAGTCTGCAAGTCAAACCTAAATTTTGCGGCCAGAGAAGTCTGTAACTCAAAAAGTCTGTAAGTCAAGCTGTCTGTAAGTCAAGGGTCCACTGTAATTTGTTTTGAGTCCAATCTATTATTCCAGCTAGGTATCTAATTACTGGAACTGCTCATGTGTTTATGGCTTTGATTGTATTTCCACCATTTAATTTTGGTTTTAAGATTTTTCACAGTCTTTTGATATATTTCCTTTTTGTTAGTTCTTTATCTTTTGTGTGCATGATCTTAATGTTCCAAGATATTTATAATTCTCATCACTTGATAGTTATTTAATAATATTGCAATTTTTAAACTCTATTCCATCTAGTGTTTGGCTCTTGCCACTGCGTATAGATACAGTAGTGTGTCATGTTCCTGGGGGTCACAACAGCAGAGTCCGATAAGCCAGTCCTATGTCAGAAGTTCAGAGAATGCACAGCCGATACCCAAATACCAAAGCCAAATCACACAGTGTAGTCCAGGGTCAAAGTCCAAAACCAAGGGTCCAAAGAAGAAGATTCAAGGTAGTCAGGAGCATGGATGCGAGCCAGAGGTTTGACTTGTTGCTTCCACAAACTTCCAGCCATCTGAGAGCTGCTATATAGTAAAAACAGTCATTGAACTGCTGGAAGTCTTTTCATCCTGTCAGAACTCAGGGGCAGCCTTCAGGCGATCCCCTGACCTTTGCGTCATAAGTCTTTGCCAAAGCTTGGCCCTCACCCTGTTTAGGGGGAGGAGAATCTGGAGGCGATTCAGCTGTTTGTGTTTCTAATTGCTCAGCATTCTCCTCAGCTACAGTTAACCCCTCAGGTTCCAGATCTTCGGCTGAACTCATGACAGTGCTGCACATTTGTCAATTCCAAATTTCATTTGGATATCTTCACTAAATATTTGCACTGTGTTTAGCAGTGATTCTATCTCTGTGGAACTTTTTGCATATAGTTTTAGGTTGTCCATGTATAACAGATGATTGATTTTTCCTGCTTGTTCTGAAATGTGGTAGTCCAATCCAGTTTAAAATTATTGACATGGGGATTAGTGAGGTGTTAAACAGCAGTGGTGACAAAGAATCCCCTTGAAATATTCCCCTTTTGATGCTAACTTTCCCAGTTTCTTCACCATGCGCCATTAAGACAGTTTTCCATTTTTCTATGTTTTGAGGAACTTCTGAATATTTTTAACTAATCCCCCCCAAAATTAGGCCGTTGTTATTCCAGCTGTGTGTCAATGAGTCAAATGCCTTTTTCATTGTCTATCCAGGCCATGTTAAGGTTTGTTTTTCATCTTTTGCATTCTTCAGTATCATTTTATCTGTAAGCAGCTGATCTTTTGTGCCTCTCGACTTTTTAAAGTTCCCTTTCTGTTTAGATGGGTATAGGGAGTTTTCAGTTAATTATATATTGATCCTGCAAGTACTCCTGTGAGGAGCTTGAACATTATTGGAAGGCATGTAATTGGTCAATAATTACTGGGTTTATTGCCCGTTTAATGATCTTTTATTATCAGAAATGTGTGGCCTGTTGTCATCCAACCTTCAGTTGTAGAATTTTGAAGTAAATGATTAAATTGCACTGCTATATGTTGTTAGACTTGTTAGATGCTTTAACCAAAATCCATGCAGCTCATCTGGACCAGGTGCACTCCAATTTTTCACAGCCTTTACTTGACTCTTAATAATTTCAATTGTTATTACAATATTATCCGTTTTTTGTTTTCCTTCTTTACAAATGTCTTTCATCCATGACACATTTTTGTTATATCTAGTTGGGCCTTCCCACATTTCTTTCCAAAATTTTAGACCATCTTTACATGGGCCTAATTTCTTTTTATCTGCATTTTCTCCTGGTGATGTATAGAATAATTGTTGGTTATTTTGAACTGTGTGTTTTCTCTATATTGTTTCAAGCATCCACATATCTTTCAATTTTCTTTGCTGTAGTTATTACTCACTGTTTTAATTCTTCTATAGTTTCAACTATTGTTTTCCTTTCTAGGTCATATATTTTGCATAGTCTGGCTTTTACTTTTTCATTCTTAAGTTTTGAATCTTTCAAGTGTTTTAACTTTCTAATGTCTGCACGTAATTTGTTTATTTTTCTTTCCAGCCAAAATTTCCATTTTGGGGTGCCATGAGTTTTCTGGGGGGTTTTGCAGCTTATGACTGATTTCACTGGTTATTATGGTAGCTGTGCTATACATGAGCTGGTTTGTTTCCTTTAGCATGTTGGTTGGTGTCAAGGATAATTTCCACACTGAGGTAGAACAAGGCCTATAATAATTAGCAGCCATGTTTGCAAAATGTGGAATCATACAGAATGTGTATTAAATGAAGTAGTGTCTGGGGTGATGCAATGTCCTCACTGATTGTCTATGTGTAAACTGTGCATGTGTATAACTGTGTGGATATGTGGAGAAGATGTAGGATCTCTGCTGAAGAATGTCATGCTGGCAGTTTGTAATGCGAATAGCTTCTGTATGTATTGCAAATATACTTGGTGTTGGAAGAAGCTGTCTTTGTATGTGTGATTCAACTAGACCGCCTGGACTGGGACAAAACTCTACAAATTTACACCAACAGCTGGGATTGTTCTGATGACTACATTCACATCATTCAGTAGATGTTTTACTGGTTTGTATTGTAATCAACGCAAATTGGGGAGACTTTGCCTTTCTGTGTTCTGGCTAATACGGATTACTACTTTTCCCCTCAGTGATGTTTGCCACTGTGTCAACTCATAATTTCTGGGTTGTTTCATAAGTTGTTCCTCTATTGACATGTTTTCTTCTACTACTGTGGCTGCCTCTACCCTCCATTTGTCTTCCATACTATGGTCATTGTTCTGTGTTGATTTTTCTTTTGCCACCTTTTCTAGTTCTTGCAATTCCAGTTCTGAAAACACTTTACTCCAGATGATAAACCTTCTCTGGTCCATTACTTGTTGTTCAGTTATGTCAGTACTTGGGAGTTTCCTTTTCAAATTTCCATCATTCTTTTTTTTAAACCCTGGGCTCTTGGATTTGCCTCTTAATAACATTTCATAATTTCTCAGTATTTGGCAAGAGTCCGAGTTTTGCATTCATGTTGTTCCAGTAGCTTTGCAGCAGCCTGTCCAGCTCCCTCAACAGGGTCTGCTGAGCCCTTTAGGCCATTTGTCACCAGATGCCCAGGGGCT